AATATTTATAACAAAGGCCATCACAACATGTGACCTTGTACCTGGAAATCGGTGTAAAAAAAAAAAACCTTGCCAACCTGTTTTAAACACAGAATGACGCTCGCTTATAATTTCTCTTTCATCTCAATTTCAGCGAACGGACGACGACTTGGATCTTTAAACGTCGTGTACCAACAAACTACTCGGACGATCAAAGACGCATTTAAATGGCTTGCAGGCTGAGTTCTAATGTAAGAGGTACTGCACCCTCTGTGACGTTTACTACAGCGTCTCCACCACCTGCTGTTGCTCATAAAACACCTGGTGACATCACTGATTGGGGGTGTGGCCCAGAGTGTAAAGAAAATATAAAATGCTCCAAAGTTTGCACCACAGACAGCAGCTGTTCTCTCTTCCATGTGATTTGTTGATGTTCCTTTAAAAGACAAACTTTAAAAACAGTGAAACTGATGTCATCGTATTCACTTGGACCAACACGTACGATAGAAAACAAAACTCTTACATTCTTCACCCTGTGGAAGCCAGTGAACTCAAGAAAACATGGCTCTGGCAATGGCTAACTACTTATTAAGTATTGCACATCTAGCAAATCAACAATTTGTAACATTTTTTTTCCAGAGAAATGTACAGTCAATATATTTATATATTAAATAAATACTATATATAGAAATATATATAATATTTATTTTGTCATCTTCATAGTAACATGCAATTGATAACAGCAGACCACAGACGAGAAACCTTACAGTAGAACTGGAACAGTAATTCAGCCCGGCGGGCCGATCTAGAGCAAGAGAACACATTGGAGAACACATCGGAGAACACTCACATTTCGGGGTTCAAACACTTAAGAAGCGTTCACATGCGGTGCTCCAGCACAGCGCGGGACGACCTGCGGTACAAGAGGGTCTCTGGATGTGCACGCCAGTTTGAACTTGGGACAGACTGGAACTTTACAGTAACCACATATCACACAATAACTCACACAGTCAAATGGGGACGGGGGCGGGACGGGGGGTTCTCTGTAGTGAATGTCAAGGCTGTGCACGGGACCTGCATGCACTCTGTGCCTCGGGGGCGATGCCTCACATCTCCCATCAGTTGGGTGTTGGCAGCAAGAACAACAGAAGACTTTCACACTGAGGCGACGAGCTTGGAGCCGCGTTGAGGAGCAGGCAAACATTTAGCTAGTTGGTTTGACAGCGATGAGGAGTCGGGAGTATTTACACAACATCACAGACTAAACACGTCTACACGACCGGGTCTAAAAAGGGGTCTGAGGCCTGTATATACACAAGAGGAGGGAGCAGGAATCGTGTGCTTAGATTAGATTAAGGGATTGTCAGAAGTCTCTGGTTTATAGAGCTGAGATGCCGTTTCAAGTAGAGAGGCACGAGGACGGGCGGTGGGGGAGGGGGGGGTAGACTAGCTAGGAAGGGGTCTCGGTGACAGAATCTTGGGTTTTGCTTCCCCCTCCTTTCCCTTCACTGCCGCCACATAGGAGAAAAGGCAGAGGACGGAGTAACAGATTTGATGTGCCTGCAGAGGGGACAAAATAAACAATGAGGAGGATAACGAGCCAGATGTGATGTAACATCTGTGTACAGTATTGTTAGGAAAGAGCCCGCCTTTTTCCAACGACGGCTTGTCGGATGGTTCTATGAAACAAACCATCAGGTTAAATACTGATTAACAAGCGTGTTGTAATGTCACTGTAATCGACACTCATTAGCTCTAGTTAGTGCTCACGACTGAATATTTCTTCAGCAGTCGTGTTGCCTAAACTTAATGCAGTCGTGTTGCCTAAACTTA